CTCACTGCAGTACAGGAGTGTACTCAGGACACAGGCTCTATAGACCTGGTTCTTGGTATATGGTGTCAGCTTCTTATTGAGCCATACTTTCTTTGTGAGTCTAGAGAACATGGTAGCTGCTTTGCTGCTTTTCCACTGCCTCCCGTAGTTGTGTCAATTTCATGTTGGTTGCTTTTCAGACAGCGTCCAGCCATCTCATCCTCTGTTGTCCCCTTCTCCTCTTGCTGTCACACTTTCCTAACATCAAGGTCTTTTCCAAGGAGTCTTCTCTTCTCATGAGATGGCCAAAATACTGGAGCCTCAGCTTCAGGATCAGTCCTTCCAGTGAGCACTCAGGGTTGATTTCCTTTAGAATTGATAGGTTTGTTCTCCTTGCAGTCCAGGGGACTCTCAAGAGCCTCCTCCGGAGTCACAATTCAAAGGCATCAATTCTTCGGCGGTCTGCTTTCTTTATAGCCCGGCTCTCACTTCCATACATCACGACAGGAAAAACCATAGCTTTGACTATTCGGACTTTTGTTGGCAAGCTGATGTCTCTGCTTTTTAAGATGCTGACAAGAAGCAGGCGTCTTTTAATTTCGTGGCTGCTGTCTCCATCTGCAGTGATCATGGCGCCCAAGAAAATAAAATCTGTCACTGCCTCCATATCTTCTCCGACAATTTCCCAGGAGGGGATGGGACCAGTGGCCATGATCTTAGTTTTTTTGATGTTGAGTTTCAGGCTGTTTTATGCACTCTCCTCTTTCACCCTCATTACAAGGTTCTTTAATTCCTCCTCACTTTCTGCCATCAGAGTGGTATCATCTGCATATCGGAGGTTGTTGATATTTCTTCCGGCAATCTTAATTCCGGTTTGGGATTCCTCCAGTCCAGCCTTCTGCATGATGTATTCTGCATATAAGTTAAATAAGCTAAATTTAAGGATTGTTTTACCTTACTGCTTTGAATGCGTTTTGGTGTTGCTTGTGTTTTTTCATATGGTGTTTGTTTGATCCTTTTGTATTTTTATATTCACTTTTGTTAGAGTTAAATACTGTTTCTTAATGATGTAAGCCGCCTTGGGCCCTTTTTAAGGAGAAAAGCCAGGTAATAATATTTTAAAGGATTTTATTGGATTTCTGATTTTGATTTCATGGCTGCTGTCACCATCTGCAGTGATCATGGAGCACAAGAAAGTAAAATCTGTCACTGCCTCCATATCTTCCCCTTCTATTTCCCAGGGGATGATGAGACCAGTGGCCATGATCTTAGTTTTTTGATGTTGAGCTTCGGACCATTTTTTGTGCTCTCCTCTTTCACCCTCATTAAGAAGTTCTTTAATTCCTCCTCACTTTCTGCCATAAGAGTGGTATCGTAATAAGCTGGGGGACATTATACAGCCTTTCCCAATTTTGAACCAGTCAGTTGTTCCATATCCAGTTCTAACTGTTGCTTCCTGTCCCACATATAGGTTTCTCAGGAGATAAATTTATATGAAAAAGGAAGTGCAAAAGCCCCCAAACCTCATCTGAAAATTTACTAGTCTTTTCTAATACTGTAAGAAGGGAGCAAATGCCAAAGTAGAAGTAGCACTTTGTAAGGATGTTGGCAAAGAGGAAGTCCTGCATGCATTTCTGCTGGACTTTGGTCTTTGCTGTCAGTGTAGAGAGATTAAAGAGCTTTCCATCTGATCTAGTCTGGAGATAGACACCTTCTGTTGCAGTTCCAAAGGCATGCTTCAGTATGATAGCAAAAAAGATCCCAAACAGGGTCGGCACAAGGACACAGCTCTGTTCACTCTGCTTCAGATGTCAAAGGGATCTGATGTTGAGCCATCAAAAACTAGAGTGCCCTTCATTCCCTCATGAAAGGACCTGATGATGTTAAGGAGCCAAGGTGGAGATCCAATTTTGGGAAGTTTTTTAAAAAGGCCCTCCCTGCTAACCAAATCAAAGGCCTTTGTGAGATTTATGAAGGCCACAAAGAGTGGCTGTTGTTGTTCCCTACATTTCTCCTGCAACTGTCTGAGGGAGAATGCCATGTCAGTGGTGGATCTATTAGCTCAAAATCCATATTGTGATTCTGGAGAGACTCTGTCTGCAAGCACCTGGGATCTCTTCAGTACAACACGGGCAAGCAGCTTCCCTACAATGCTGAGAAGAGAGATGCCACGGTAGTTATTGCAGTCGCCATGGTAGTTATTGAAGTCACCCTTTGTTCTTATACAGTGTGATTATGTTTGCATTCTTCATGTCCTGTGCTACTCCACCTTCCCTCCAGCAAAGATGAAAGACTTCATACATTTCGGTGATAATGATGTATTTACAGCACTTCAGCACTTCAACAGGGATGTTATCCTTCCCAGGTGCCTTGCCGGAGGCGAGGGAATCCAAGGCCGCTTTTATTTCTGCTAAAGTTGGTTTGCTGTCCAACTCTTCCAAGACAGACAGGCATTCAATGTTATTTAATGCCTCTTTGGTTACTACATTCTCTCTGGAATATAGCTCAGAATAGTGCTGCACCCAGCGTTCCATCTGCTGTGATCAGTCCTGGATGATCACGCCTGTATTGTGATTGCTGAATTGTGCAGCAATTTCAGGCTATTTCCTGGTGTTTAAAATTGTGTATAGAGAAGGACAATATCCTACTTTGATAAACTGGAGGTTTTTTAAGAATTAAATGTCCTGGATTTTTTAAATTGATGTTTAAGTATACGCACACTGCACACAATTTGAACAGAAACTTCACTCTTGTAAAAATACCCAATGCTAGAAGATCTGAGAAGATGAGCCGATGATCTGTACTATGGGAGAGGACAGAACCAAGAACAGCTGGGATGTGGCTGCATTCTGAGTGTGTCAAAATATTTTGAAGGGCTGTTTAAGACTTAATGCAATAGAACTGTTGGATTGCTGTGAAACCAGAGGTTGGCAGTTCAGTTCCCCACTGTGCCTCCTTGACAGGAGCTAGACTCGATGATCCATAAGTTCCATTCCAACTCCAAAGTAATAAGATTATTATTATTAAATGGTGAAGCAAAAGTGTGAATGAGTGCAACACACACAATGGAGAAACATAAACAGGTGAGGGGGAAGTAGGTAGAGAACAACTTAACTTGAGATGCAATGCTTGGATCTTAGATGTCTCCAGGAAACTCTGTGTTGAAGCTTCGTATTAAAGAACGTGTTGCTGACACAAAGACCATAATAGCAAAACTCCAGCAAGCTTTGGCCATTTTGTTCATCTTCCCAATCCAAAATGGCCTAGGCAAGTGGGCCAAGAATTGTGATCAGCACCAACTCTAGCGTTAAAGTCTCAGAGAATGAACAGCGATTCTCTCTCATCATTGTAGAATTTGTCTTTAACTTCTGTTGTGGACGATAGTATTGGTGCATATGCACTAATGAGGGTGACCGGTCCCGCTGATGAGTGGAGCTGCAGAGACAGGATTCTTTCAATCTCCACAGTAGGTGGTACAATGGATCTCGGCAGAGGATTTCTGACTGCAAAGCCAACACCATATTCCCTGGTCTCAATCAATGGTTTTCCCTGCCAGAAGAATGAGAAGGGTTTTTTCCCCTTACATATCCCAAGTCTGGCAATCTCATCTCTTGCAGGCAACAATGTCCATCTGTGGTCTACTCAGTTTAATGTTGATGACAGCTGTCTTGCGCACATACTGTAGTCTGTTTCTTGCAGGTCGTCAGAAAAGCCGTCGTCAGAAAAGCCAGGGGTCATTGTATGAACATTGCAGTCTAAGATGCCTTAAACTTGGGCATCTAAGATATCCACAATTATAACAAAGCTGAGTTACTCCCCAGTCTACCTCCATAGAAGGGAACATGAGGCTGCCCGAGAAGACACAATTAAAAGAGTATATGATTGTAGCATTCACCCTGCTTATGAATATTTATGTTGAAATTTGCATGCACCAATAGGAGTCAGCGGGGGGCAGAGTTAAGTGGGGGGAAGAGAAAAAGAGAGAGAAGGAGAGTAGAGTAGGCAGTTGAGAATGGAGAAAGAAGGTTGTTTAGTTGAGAATTAATGACATTCACTGGACTTTTATCATTTGTAACAATAAAAAAATTCTACTTGATTCTTAAATGAAACGCTACCTGGACCTCTGTCATTACTAGTGAACAAAGTTGATGTAATCAGGTGGTGGCAGCTGAACGACACGTAGCATGTGCCTTTGTTTGGTGAAATGACCAGAGGCCACACGGGAACGTGACAATGATATTGATCTCCAGACTACCATGGTATCTGTAGCCTGTTGCCGCTCCAGTAGGATATGCAAAGGCTTTTCCGAAAGCTGCCCCCTTATTTGTCTTTTATTGGCTCACATGAGCTGAGAGAACTGCTAACTAGGTGCAGACTAAACTCATTACAGCTGAAAGAGATTCAGGGACATTACATGGACCAACATGGTACAGACAGACATTGCCCAGCAGGACGCTCTAAAATGGAGGACATGGTACACTTTCCAACAGAATGTCTTCTATATGCAGATCTGAGACATCTATATCTAAAGCCCTTAACAGCTGGGACCAAGAACACTTCCCCTCTATGCACAGTCCTGTTCTGCTAGCTGGCACAAACTACTATATACTGTATCCTATAGGACTGCAAAATTTGTTAAATGAGCCATGGAAAGGTGGAACTTACTACCTGCTTCATAAGTTCCTCAAGTTACTCTCACATCTTAATTTCCCCCTTTCTCTCTTTTGAGAATGCTATTACATTTTATTACTACCATTTAATCCTTTAATGCCTTTTATGCTTGCTTGTATGTGCTTGCATGAGATGCCAAATACTATTTTATGATTGGTTTAATCTGTGTTCTTACATATAGCCTTATCAGCTGCAAAGCAATAAAGTATTTGTATTCATATTATGAGGGTAGCATTATGTGGTATGCACAACACACCAAGAGATTTTAACTCCTTAAAGAGATTTTGAACAAAATAATGAAAACTACAAAGTGGAGCTGGAGTAACTTATCAAACATCTTTTTTTTGCAGGATGAACTTACTGCTGTGAATGTAAAGCAGGGATTCAGTAACCAACCAGCCTTCTCTGGAGATGAGCATGGGTCTGCTCGAAATATTGTCATTAACCCTTCAAAGGTAATATTTAAAGTTAAAGTGCGCTGCAAAAGTATTTTCTTTAAAAGAATAATAGAGAAACAGAAACACTGAAAGATTTTTCTTTTTACCTCCAAACTAGGAGACAGCTTTGAAGAATAATTTCTAAAATTTCTTCATCACTTTTTGGGTGGCTACCTTTCTGCCACTAACACCATAATGCCCTGGAATCGCATTAAAGAGAGTAACAGTTGCTACTTGTTTCCACTTTAACTGTCATAACTCCATCTGATAAAATCCTGGGATGTGAGTTTGATAGGCACTATAATTCTCTGCTGTAGTTAAGGTACCTTGGATTCTCCTTAGGAGAAAGATGGAGTAAAATATTTTGAATAAATGAATAAATGCACTAGGGAATTCCAAGAATTTTACCAAAAAGAAAAAATAAATAAATAAAAATCTGTGAATTCCATAATATGCAATGTAACAAAGTGGAATCAAAGTACTATAATTCTGTCATATGGATACACATGCTTTAAATCTCTTTCTGGGCAAGGGTCCTAATTAGAGATGGTATATCAAACTTTCCACTGATAGTCTTTAATACCATGTGTTTCTCTTTTGCACCTTAACAGACATGTTACGCATTTTTAGTCAATTACTTGTTTAACACACCCAGGACCTTATATTTAAAATATAGTGGGATAATACCTCAATTATTTATATCATGAAATCTTTGGTCTGATACACTGAGGTATTTAGAATATAGTGTTATTAAATGGGCAGCCTATACTACAGTGATAGCTAGATCTTTCAAGTAGGAATACAGTACTCTGTATAACAATGCTTTGTAGATGCTTAACTGTGTATGTATTTCTCCCCATGTCAGATTGGTGCTTACTTTAGCAGCATATTAGCAGAGAAGTTAAAACTGAACACTTTCCAGGACACAGGAAAGAAGAAACCGCAAGTCAATGCCAAAGACAATTACTGGCTAGTTACGGCTCGTTCCCAGAGTGCAATTCATAACTGGTTTGCAGATTTAGCCGGAAATAAACCACTGACTATTCTAGCAAAAAAGGTACAAATCTTTTGAGTGTTTCCTAGAAATGTTGGGTACAGGAATTTGGTTTAAAGGAATGTTGTTTATTTTAGTAACACACCATGTTCTGCAGAATTTGTCAAGACAACCACAATCAAGTATGGGGAAGCAGAGTAATTATTCTGTTAGGAACAGTTCTGTGCTTTTCCTGTAGATGTACCTAGAGAGCTGTCTCAATACCACAATGAATGAGGAATTAATAAACATGCTAAGTGCACATTAAGTCCCAGGTGCTAGTTCAAACCAGAGTAGAGCCATTGACTTGCATTAATGTTGATTTAACAACTCCAATTTGTTTGGTGGGTCTACTGTATTTTACACTAACATTTGAATTCAGCCCTGAATATACAGGGTATATGTGTAATCGTACAGTATATATCTTGTGTTACTATCCAGCAAAATGTTCATTGCAGAAGCAGAAGTCATTCGGTTCCATGTCCCATAAAACTGATTCCAGCTACCCTATTTTCAGAATATGGTTGAATTTAGATTTCTTTTGGTGGGCATTGCTGGTCTTAGTTTAATAATAAGAATAATGGTGAATAAGATCAGATGTCTGCACAGGCTCGTGCCTGAGCACAACAGAAAGGATTGCTTTGACAGGATCTATCTCCCTTAAACCAATCCTTCCATCTGCTGGGGAATCATTCCAGCAATTCCCCTAAAAGTAATAGCTCTACAGCTGGACCAGAAAGGTCAAACTTGGGCATGGATTGGGCCCAGACTGGGCTAAAGCATATTTCCTCATGGTTTGTGTGACCACTGGGAAATAGATCACACTGTACCACTCCCGCCAACCTAGCGGTTCGAAAGCATGCAAATGTGAGTAGATCAATAGGGACCACCTTGGTGGGAAGGTAACAGCGTTCCGTGTCTAAGTCACACTGGCCATGTGACCATGGAAGATTGTCTTCAGACAAACGCTGGCTCTATGGCTTGGAAACGGGGATGAGCACCGCCCCCTAGAGTCGAACACGACTGGACAAAAAATTGTCAAGGGGAACCTTTACCTTTACCTAGTACCACTCCACAAGTAGTCCAAATTGTGATCTATTTTCCTGTGTGATGACTTCCTAAGAATAATAATAACATGCTCTGTATGGTTTTGTAGTGCAGTATCTGAAAGGTCAGATCTAAATTTGACATTAGATCACATCAGTGCATCTAATTCATTGTTTAGCAGGTTTGGGTGTTTCCTGCCATTGGGCTTTCTAACTACAGTATTGTTAATGACTACTGTGTTTCCCCGAAAATAAGACAGGGTCTTATATTAATTTTTGCTCCAAAAACACATTAGGGATTATTTTCAGGGGATGTTTTATTATTTTTCATGTACAACAATCTACATTTATTCAAATACAGTCATGTAATCTTCTTCTGTTTGCTGCACAATGGTGGAGGGAGGGGTTTCACTTGACTATGTTTCCTGCCATTGGGCTTTCTAACTATTGTTAATGACTACTGTGTTTCCCCCAAAATAAGACCTAACCTGAAAATAAGCCCTAGTATGATTTTTCAGGATGCTCATAATATAATATATTTTGGGCCCAAAATATATTATATTATGAGCATCCTGAAAAATCATACTAGGGCTTATTTTCAGGTTAGGTCTTATTTTGGGGGGAGTCAATCTTATATTATAAGCATCCTGGAAAATCATACTAGGGCTTATTTTCAGGTTAGGTCTTATTTTGGGGGAAACAGGATATAGTATTAAGTTAAAAGATATGCCTGGAAGAAGATCATGTGACAGCTATCTCATGTCTTATTGGACAGACCTGGGTTTTTGATTGGTTTCATTAAGGAATTTTGGATGAAATTCAGTTGGTGCTTTTGTAACATCTTTGTAATCTGTAGCAGTAGCAGCTAACTGATAATCTTGGCTACCCAGTGAGATATGTGAATGACCAAAATAATTCCCAAAACTTTGTCAGTTGGCTGCAGTTAGCTGTCACATGTTACCACAGCAGCTAACTGATAATGTGTTGGGGTGCATCTTGGCTACCTAGTGAGATATGTGAATGACCAAAATAATTCCCAAAACTTTGTCAGTTGGCTGCAGTTAGCTGTCACATGTTACCAAACATCAATGAGATTCTCTCCTTTCAATTATAAATGTGTTCATACTATTTCTTTATAGATATTGGAAACATTTGTTGTCATCAGCGACCAAAATACTTGTTATGCCTTGCTGGCAAATGAACCATCAGATTGTGCATTTAAAATTCAGTTACGCTCAGCATAGCGTGTAATGCCACATACCACAAAAATGACCCCTCTCTCATTAACCAGATATAGGCCCTTCTGTGATATGTTACAATATTAGATACAGAGAGGAAAATAGAGTGAATGGATGGGAGACAAGCAAGATAACACTAAGGTTGCTGTCAGCATTCCTTAATATTTCCAGGACAGCAATCTGGCTCACATTCAGCCCTCAGCTTGCTTCCTCTCTACCAATCTACTCTTCCCATATTTACTGCATTTTCTGTACAATCCAGCCATTTCAGAGGCTCCATTTTTTAATTTGAAACTTAACAGTGTTGTGGCGAGTTCACCATTTAACTCTTCTCCCTTCTTTAACCCAGGTTCCAATTCTCAGTAAAAAAGAAGATGTTTTTGCTTATTTAGCAAAATATTCTGTGCCGCTGCTGCGAGCAGCATGGTTGATAAAAATGACATGTGCCTACTATGCTGCCATTTCTGAAGCTAAAATCAAGAAACGTCAAGCTGCTGATCCTAATCTGGGTAAATAAATGAATTGGGAAGTACAATGCTTTTATATTATTTTAAAAATTTGTTGTTGCAGATAAGTTGTGCAGCACGTGGAAGTGCCGTTGTGTTTTCCATGAATATTCTCAATTGCTTGTGTCCACTTCAATTTAAAATGTTTAAAAACTGCCCACCTGATTATTAAATAAAGATGGAAACCATTTCCTCTTTCCATTTCACTTCTGTTTCTTGGTCATACAGAAAGATTTCAAACTTTTACTAAAACAGCAGCATTAAAGTGGAAGTTAGCCTGCTTTATTGGTATGTGGGGGGAGACCACCCACACTTTCTTGCAGTTTTATAATTTCACAGCCCAGATCTGCAAACTGGAACACGAGTGTCTGTTGCTTTAGGCAAGAAAATACGGAGACAAGAGTGATAGTTTTAGGCACTGTGCTGAACACGTGAAGGCGTTGGCTGAAACTAAGAAAATATGAATGCGTTAATTTCTTTGGAACATTTATATACCAACTTTCTTAGCAGCTCATGATGGTTATATTGTAAGTTTTCAATTTTCACCAGACTGAAATCCTATTGTGCAGGGGTGATGTCATCATCAGTGGTATATCACTGCTGATTAAAGATGATTCCGGGAACTCATGCACAATGCACTAAAGTCAGGTACACCCTCACCCTTGCCTTTACTTATTGATTTGCTGCTGCTGCTGATTTCATCACCATTTTGCACATGGAGCTGAGCAATAGGTTTCAGATGCTGTATATTGTTGCAAATTAAGGTGCATATTATGGGAAAATGGAAACTGGAGATTGACCTTGCATAGGCGGATAGTGAGCAGAGCTTGCAGGTGCTTTTGTGAAAGTTTGAGTGAAGCACCCCCCCCCCCCCCGGTTTCTTGACCTGTTCCTGCCCTTCATGATATTTGGTCACAATATAGAGTTCCATTGATTTGAATTAGAGGAATGACCCTTTAGTATTGGGCTCACATAGAAAGCAGAAAAGAAAGCTGGACCACTATGAAAAGGGGTCTAGAAACCAAGCCATGTGTAGAATAGCTGAGAGACTTGGGTGTAATCACCCAGAAAAGAAAAGACTGACAGATTATATAATCACTGTCTTCAAATATCTGAAGGGCTGTGATATGGAAGATGGAGCTAGATTGTTTTCTGTTACTCCAGAGAATATGACCCAAACCAATGGATTCCAGTGATAAGAAAGGAGATTGCAACTAAATGTTGGGAAGAACTTCCAGATGGCAAGAGAGTGCTCAGCAATCGAATGGAAAGTCTTATAACAGAAATTGGATAGCTATCTGTCAGGGATGTGTTAGTTCTTGCACTGGGAGGGAATTGAACTAGATAACCCTTAGGATCTTTCAAAATCTACATTCTATGGTAGGAAATTGGTGCGGTTCTGTTGGTGCTAAATCCATGGATATAGCTACAGGGTATATATCATTTTTTACTTTAAGCAAGGGGATAAAAGGACATGCTTGACACAATAGTATTTATTTGACATGATGTTTGCCAAAGATGTCAATACCAACTTCATTTGCTGGTCAGCTTAGAAGGTGGAAGTTTTGCTGCCATTCATAGTTTTGTGAAATAATATATGGTATATAACCAACACAGTATTTGAGCCTGTGTGTAAGCGTGTGCCTTAGATAAATGAAATTGATTAATTCTGACTATTTTGAATCTTTGTGTAGCACTGAAGTGTCAATAATAATTGCCTTGGAAACCATCTTATCATGGTGTGAAATGAAAGTAAGCGTGAAATAATGTTTTTGCTTCCATTTTTTACTGTGCAGTTGGGAAGTGCTTTGTAGTTGCAGATGCTGCTGCGTTAATCTTTCTACAAAAATCCTTTTTTTTTTTGGTCTGGTTTTTATATCAAGCAACTCATCTGTCACAGAAGTATCAATGCATATACTTAATAGTTTAGTTGTTTTAAAGCATCTCGCTTGTCAGCCAGAAAGCTCCCCTGTCCAGAGTGCCTTATAGATCTATAAAAACAAGGCAGTACCTTTCATAGAGTTTACAAACTTAGGAAAAGAAAAAGTGAGATGGATAAAAAAAGAAAAAGAAAATGTAGGCACCAGTGATGTTTTGAGGCTCTTACAGGAGTTTTCAGAGAGGCAGCAATATCTGAGGAAGTTGATTGTGATCTATAAAAGCTCACCTTGAAATGAATCCATTCATCTTTAAGATACTGCAAGATTCTTATAATGGCTGAAGTTCAATGTATACATATCATAAACTCTTGACTACAGCTCCCATGATTCTTCACCACTCGTCATCTTTTAGTTGTTTAGTCGTGTCCGACTCTTCGTGACCCCATGGACCAGAGCACGCCAAGCCCTCCTATCTTCCACTGCCTCCTGGAGCTGTGTCAAATTCATGTTGGTTGCTTCGATGACACTGTCCAACCATCTCATCCTCGGTCGTCCCCTTCTCCTCCTACCATCACACTTTCCCAACATTAAGGTCTTTTCCAAGGAGTCTTCTCTTCTCATGAGATGGCCAAAGTACTGGAGCCTCAGCTTCAGGATCTGTCCTTCCAGTGAGCACTCAGGGTTGATTTCCTTTAGTATTGATAGGTTTGTTCTCCTTGCAGTCCAGGGGACTCTCAAGAGCCTCCTCCAGCACCACAATTCAAAGGCATCAATTCTTCGACGGTCAGCTTTCTTTACGGTCCAGCTTTCACTTCCATAGGCTGAGGGGAGTTAGATTCCACATTCTCCTCTTTTATTCCATCAAAAATGCTTATGGGAATATTCTAAAACAGCCGTGGTAAGTTTAACTGTGTCAAGAGAACAAAAAAAAAAGCGTTAATTTCTTTGGAACATTTATATACCAACTTTCTTAGCAGCTCATGATGGTTATATTGTAAGTTTTCAATTTTCACCAGACTGAAATCCTATTGTGCAGGGGTGATGTCATCATCAGTGGTATATCACTGCTGATTAAAGATGATTCCGGGAACTCATGCACAATGCACTAAAGTCAGGTACACCCTCAAATTGCCTTTACTTATTGATTTGCTGCTGCTGCTGATTTCATCACCATTTTGCACATGGAGCTGAGCAATAGGTTTCAGATGCTGTATATTGTTGCAAATTAAGGTGCATATTATGGGAAAATGGAAACTGGAGATTGACCTTGCATAGGCGGATAGTGAGCAGAGCTTGCAGGTGCTTTTGTGAAAGTTTGAGTGAAGCACTGCAAGACCCATCGGTCCAGCTGAAGGATGTGTGTGAAGCAAATAAACTGTGCAAGACCCATTGGAAATACAAAAAGGGTGGGAAGAAAAGCAAACGAAGTGTGCAAGACCCATCAAAAATGCAAAGAAATCAAAGCAAAAAGCAAGACATAGAAAGCAGAAAAGAAAGCTGGACCACTATGAAAAGGGGTCTAGAAACCAAGCCATGTGTAGAATAGCTGAGAGGCTTGGGTGTAATCGCCCTGGAAAAGAAAAGACTGACAGATTATATAATCACTGTCTTCAAATATCTGAAGGGCTGTGATATGGAAGATGGAGCTAGATTGTTTTCTGTTACTCCAGAGAATATGACCCAAACCAATGGATTCCAGTGATAAGAAAGGAGATTGCAACTAAATGTTGGGAAGAACTTCCAGATGGCAAGAGAGTGCTCAGCAATCGAATGGAAAGTCTTATAACAGAAATTGGATAGCTATCTGTCAGGGATGTGTTAGTTCTTGCACTGGGAGGGAATTGAACTAGATAACCCTTAGGATCTTTCAAAATCTACATTCTATGGTAGGAAATTGGTGCGGTTCTGTTGGTGCTAAATCCATGGATATAGCTACAGGGCGTATATCATTTTTTACTTTAAGCAAGGGGATAAAAGGACATGCTTGACACAATAGTGTTTATTTGACATGATGTTTGCCAAAGATGTCAATACCAACTTCATTTGCTGGTCAGCTTAGAAGGTGGAAGTTTTGCTGCCATTCATAGTTTTGTGAAATAATATATGGTATATAACCAACACAGTATTTGAGCCTGTGTGTAAGCGTGTGCCTTAGATAAATGAAATTGATTAATTCTGACTATTTTGAATCTTTGTGTAGCACTGAAGTGTCAATAATAATTGCCTTGGAAACCATCTTATCATGGTGTGAAATGAAAGTAAGCGTGAAATAATGTTTTTGCTTCCATTTTTTACTGTGCAGTTGGGAAGTGCTTTGTAGTTGCAGATGTTGCTGCGTTAATCTTTCTACAAAAATCCTTTTTTTTTTTGGTCTGGTTTTTATATCAAGCAACTCATCTGTCACAGAAGTATCAATGCATATACTTAATAGTTTAGTTGTTTTAAAGCATCTCGCTTGTCAGCCAGAAAGCTCCCCTGTCCAGAGTGCCTTATAGATCTATAAAAACAAGGCAGTACCTTTCATAGAGTTTACAAACTTAGGAAAAGAAAAAGTGAGATGGATAAAAAAAGAAAAAGAAAATGTAGGCACCAGTGATGTTTTGAGGCTCTTACAGGAGTTTTCAGAGAGGCAGCAATATCTGAGGAAGTTGATTGTGATCTATAAAAGCTCACCTTGAAATAAATCCATTCATCTTTAAGATACTGCAAGATTCTTATAATGGCTGAAGTTCAATGTATACATATCATAAACTCTTGACTACAGCTCCCATGATTCTTCACCACTCGTCATCTTTTAGTTGTTTAGTCGTGTCCGACTCTTCGTGACCCCATGGACCAGAGCACGCCAAGCCCTCCTATCTTCCACTGCCTCCTGGAGCTGTGTCAAATTCATGTTGGTTGCTTCGATGACACTGTCCAACCATCTCATCCTCGGTCGTCCCCTTCTCCTCCTACCATCACACTTTCCCAACATTAAGGTCTTTTCCAAGGAGTCTTCTCTTCTCATGAGATGGCCAAAGTACTGGAGCCTCAGCTTCAGGATCTGTCCTTCCAGTGAGCACTCAGGGTTGATTTCCTTTAGTATTGATAGGTTTGTTCTCCTTGCAGTCCAGGGGACTCTCA